ACTCCCTTAGGTAACTCCCATTGAAAAGTACATTTACCCTAAGTGGCTAGCCTCCTCCCCCACCTTACTCCCCATGACCCAGACTTCACCTTCATCATTTACCAGGGCACCATCAGTCCCAGTCAGTTCTTCATTTGCGGTGAGTTCAGTGATCAGGCTGCCCAGACCCAAAGCCCCCAAGCCTGCCAAGTGCTTCTTACACTCCTGAAAAAGGGACAGCACCAGAGTCGAAGACAAAAACTACACCAAAGCTTCCTATACAAGGCGTATTTCCTAGTCCACGACAAAACTATAAAATCCGCATGAAAAATGACTCTGCAGCGTGCTAAAAGGAGCTTCACATTCAAGTGAAAAGTAAATCTTCCACTAAACTCTTTATTCATCAGGTCTTTATTGACATATTGTGTCCAATTTCATCACCCTACTTTAAAGTAATATAAAGAAATATTCAAAAAACCACCACTAAGACTAAATGAATGTAACAGTAGTTCTCAGAATAAAGGCTAAAGCAACAGAGGTCGTTTGGATCAGACAAGGCAAGGCAAGGAAAGAACTTTTCTGCTAGTTTTTGTGTACTTGTGTGTGCTCCACGGGAGAAGGAATATTGATCATTATTCTCTCCTTGAAAAGATGAACCTTAAACGGAAGGTGAGTTTCGCTTGGCCACAGGCACCGATAGCATGAATGAATGCCAGTGAACACTGGGAAAACTACTTAAGGGCGCTGGGCCCAGAAGGGGTCTGCCTGCCCCAGATGGTTTGAACATTCATTGTTCTAATAACAGGGAGGTGAACCATGATTTGTTACAGGCTCTGTCCAGTCCTCTTGCTCTAGAGCCACCTTAGGTCGGCGGTGGCAGAAATGCAGTTTCAAGAATCTCCAAGTAGGTTCCCATTGCAATAGTTTAAAAGCAACCTCCCTAGGTTAAAGTGCAATAAATATTTCCTACTGCCTGGTCAGGTGGAACGTTCTGTCCAAAGCCACCCACACCGGCACCCCTGACCTACGGGGGCTGGTCTACCATCCTGTCTCCTTCTCACGCTCGTCCACAAAGAAGCCTCCTCTCTAACTGCAGTCTACGAAGGCAGTATCCGCTTCTCATTTCCTCTTCTCTTAACTGCGCCCTCTCAGACAGAGAGAGGACCACATCCTCCCCCGAATCTAAACACCCTCTACACTACACTCCAGCCGCATCACCCCCAGCCCTAACCCCACGCCCACCCCCTCACATCATCCAAGATGCTTTCCCCCTCCAGCTGCCCGGCTCCATTGATGTTGCCAAAGAGGAAACCGGTTAAAGAAAATGAGCCGCCTCCCGCAGAATCCTCATCGCTGTCCGTGTCTGACATGATGGCGGCAGCGCCAAAAGCGGAAGCCACCAAGAGCAAATCCCAGCCTGATCCCATAGCCCGGAAATAAAAGCATTAGTCGCCCAGAAGTCACTTAGGGCCCTCCTTGACCCCTACCGGAAGTGGAATAAAGGAAAAACTAACCGGAAAGACCTGCCGTCTTACGAGAAAGTAGAATTGCTTTAACTACTTTACAAACGGCTTTTGATTCGACCGTAGGTGAGCAGGAGACTGGATATTTGGAAAGCGGTTGGCCAAAGAAGCGGCTCGGTCCCACCCCTTCCCGCTGATCTGCGCACGAGCAGAAATGCCAGTGCCGGATGAGCGCCACAGCTCTTCCCCCAATCAGGAGGAGCTGGCTGGGTCACATGGTCTAGTTCCGCAGGTCGTTGCGCTCCGGCAGACGGAAGTAGTAAAGATAAGAGCTCCTCTCTTTGTGCTTGCTGTTGCTCCGCTCTTTCGCCCCAAAAAGAAACTGGCCATAGACTGCACTGTGCCAAAGGTACCTCTGACAGTTTTGGATTCACTTTCCCCATTGAAATGAGTTTTGCCTGGCTTTAATTTATGGAAATGTAAAAGTAAAAGATTAGTAAAAGGAACCGATCCTTCACCTAGATTTATAAGTGTTAACGTTTTGTCAGGCTTTTATTTTCCTGAGCCATTTGAAAGTGCGTTACAGATATCGTGACTCTTCACTCCTAAAAATAGACGTTTTTCTACATAATGCCATTACACATCTTGAAGAATTAACAGTAATTCAGTATTATTTAACATACAGCCCATATTGAAATTTCCCTAGTTGTCCTAATCGGAGCATTTTACATCTCAATCCAGGTTCGAGCGTTCTATTTGGTTGTCTTCCTTTAGGCCCTTAATTTAAAATCCGCCATCTTATTTCTTAGTATTTGACACTACTTTTTGGGAAGACTCCAGGCAAACTGCCTTGAAAATATTCCATGTTCTGGAATATGTCCTAGCATTTCTTTTAAATTGGTTCAAGTTAAGTATATTATGACCATCAGAAGCCACAATGTCAGGTTCTCCCAGTATTGGTGATGCTGAGTTTGATCACTTCAAAAAGATGTTGACCACCATAGTAAGTAAGTAATATTATCTACGGGGTGATGCTTTTGAGATTGTGTGAATGTTTTGTTCCAGCACCCTTGCACCCTATGGTTTTAGCATCCATTGATGATCTTGCCTGAGTCAGTTGTATTGGGAAAGTGCAAACGGGTGATTTTTCTAATTCTTAAATTCCTTCTACATTTATTAACTGGACTTAGTAAGGAAGAACTTTTCTTACCTCCTTGCTCAAATTTTATTTTAATGTGTTGTAATCTAGCACCATCATCCTTTTTGAGGTTCACTGTCCCAGATTTGTTCAATGGCATCCACTTCACTCTGGCTTCTGTGTCCTTTTGACGTGACCCCGTTAGTCTTTGACACAAGATATTTCAGGCTTACTCTGTATTTTCACCTGTTTGATAGAAGCCCTTTCTACAAGGAGCCCTGGTTCCTATTAATGGGGAATGATGTTTAGAAACTGGGGCATCATTACTTGTGGGCCCTTTCAGTGGAGAGCTAAAAATAAGTAAATAAAGGAGTTTATACTAATATCACCAATTCAAATCCAATACTACAGGGTTCTCCCTCACTTTTTCTCCATATCATCTTTTTGTCATTATTCTCTTACATTAAAAATTCTGATTCCCAACACTCATATGTTTACTCTTAAATATTAACAAGACCAGTAGGGTCTACCAACAGTAACCGTAAATTCGTAAGTTGTTTGCAGTTTTCTGTCAGAATATATCCTACTAAAGATGTACAGTGTACTGTGTTTAAAAATTACTTCAATCATTTTTTTTCCTCTGTGGAATTGTTTGTATTCAACTTTAGGATTTGCTTTCATTATCCATTTTTATAAAATTTTGTGAACCTTTGCATGGTTCAAAGTCAAAACTATAAAAAAAATTATTCCCAGGGAAGAGTTGTTCCCATGCCATCTACCCCATTCCCACCCACTATATAAGTAACCATTTTCATTAATTTCTGCACCCACCATGTAAGTAACCATTTTCATTAATTCCTGGTTTATCCTTCCTGTTTTAATTTAGATGTAACTGACATATGACATTACATTAGTTTCAGTGGTACAACATAATCTGGTACTTGTACTTCCTGTGTTTTTTGGGCAAAAAGAAGCCAATGAGTATATACTCAATTCTCTTTCTTTGTTAACATAAAAGGTAGCATACAATATTTACTCTTTTCACCTTGCTTCTTATCACTTAACAATATAGCCTGAAAATGACACTGCACCACTCATTGCACTCTTCCTCATTCTTTTTTATGACTGCATGGATGTCCCATGGGATATTTTAACAGGCACATTTCTAGACCAGATGACCAAGGTCTACCAAAACCTGCATAGTAGCTGGAGTGCTGCACTTTGGTAATGAAAAGTTAGTAGAATACTACTGCTATTCTAAGACAAAAAAGCAAAATGGAATCCTTTTTAACATACCTTATACAGCCTCTTGGATGCTTGTACTTGAGTAAAAGCATTCAGTGAGAGGTAGATGGAGGCTTGTAGAATGTGGATGGGACTTCAGGTACTTAAAGATGTCATTCTTGATAAATTTACCACATGACCCAGCAATTGAAAATATGTTTACACAAAACCTTGTACATGAAAGTTCACAGCAGCATCATTCATAATAGCCAAAAAAAGCACAAACAATCCAAATGTCTCAACTATGAATAGGTGAAGTACAATATGTCCATGTAATGGAATATTACTCAGCAATAAAAAGTGAAGTACCATGTATATCAATCATACCTTAATTTTAAAAAAAAGTTAAGTACCCATACAAGCTACCAAGTGGATGAGCCTTGAAAACATTATGCTAAATGAAGGAAGTGAGTTCCAAATGACCACATACTGTTTGAGTCTGTTTATCTGAAATGGTCAGAAAAGACAAAGTAGATCCGTAGTTGCCTAGGGCTGGCGTGGGAACAGAGATTAACTGCTGGAGGGATCTCTTTGGGGTGATGAAAATGTTCTCAAGCTGGATTTTGGTGATGGTTGTACAACTCGCTAAATTTTCTAAAAATCACTGAATTGTATGTACACTTGAAATGGGCAAATTTTATGGTTAGTAAATTATATTTCAGCAAAGCTTTAAGAAAAAAATCAACATGGTTTTGCTCTTTCCTACCAGTAGTGTACTCGATAGAGCAGTGGCACTATACAGCATATGTTTAAGAGCCAGATCAGTTCATTTTTGTAAAAGGAAGCCTATTTTCCTCAGATAATTGGCAGAAACAAGGGAGATTAAATACTCTATCTTATCTTTACAACCCAGCCCCTAGTACAGTAATGCTTATATAACAGTAGGAGCTTGGTAATTGTTTACTGAATGTGTCATAAGTGAGAAAAAATAACCTACAGAGAACTGACTGGCCTGTGGTTAGTGAAAACAAGCTCAGTCCTCTAGAGGAATTGTGTAGAGGTGTGTAATGGGGGGCCAGGAACCAGAGAATCAATGTTAGCAGGGCAGACAGTCCGCTACCCTAACCAATGTAGAAACATAAGCACAGTTATACATAGGTACAATGTGCAACATGACAATTATAGTTATTTCACCCTTTGCAATTTGAAAAGCATTTATTTAGAAGTCACTCAAAACAAAGTAGGGGAGAGGTGTGGAATTGCTTTGATTTTTTAGAAAACAGACCCAGTAAAATCAGAGAAGTTTATTATTACCATTCAGTATGAATAACTAAAGTGATATTAGCATGTTACTCTTCATACAAATCCCTTTTAAGTATAAAAATGTAGATGCCATTGTATGCTTAGGACCATCAAATCAGCCCAATACAAAACCACTCTCTTAGGCTTATGGATCATACCTCCACTTATTAAAGAACATGAGTTTGTCCAAACCAAACCCAGACTTACATTTGGGAATTTGCCAGGCAAAATGGCAGCAGGAAGCACTATTCAATTAAAAGCCAAATAAAAAGATTTCAGTAGCTAAACAGAAAGTTCCCAATGACAGGGTACAGCCATGTTTCTAGCCCTTTCAACCATGACACGATGTCCTGTGAGCACCCCAGGCAGCAACCATCAGAACATCCTGGAATACTTGAGCAATGGGCACTTACATGTCGCTGCCTGAGGAATATCAGTGACTACCCGGGATAGTGGGCACACATGCCCACAGGCTGACTGACTCCTATAGTGCCCCTGCTACTATAATAGCAGCCCCACTTTCCAACGTGCTACCAGGCCTCAGTTAAGGAGGACCACCCTCACCTTCTTCTGTTAACACCCTGTTCATACAACAGAGTCCCTACCACCCTCCACAGGAAGCACTGGGTCACACACCAGGAAATAGACACCTACGTTGGAATTGAGAGAGAAGGCATATGCTGAACAATACTATCCCTCCTGGATCCTCCGCAGCTGTAGACAATCAATGGTGGAGAAATATATGCCAAGAAGTACTGTGTGAGTGCAGTGATGAAGAGAAGACAAAACAAAACACTTGAGTCCATGTTGAAAGAAAAGGAGGAAGAAAAGAGAGTGTAACATAACCTTTGTCTCCTATCAATATTTGGTATCTGCTTGACCTCCAGGTTCCAGATTCTCCAAGAGTAGGGTTGCCAGACTTAGCAAATAAAAATACAGGATGCCCCACTAAATTTGAATTACAAATAAAAACAAATAATTTTTTAGTGTAAGTAATGCCTCAAATGCTGCGAGGTACATACTTACACTAAAAAATTATTTGTAAAAAATTGTGTTTTATCTGGCAACCCTATCCAGGGGGTTCAGTTAAGCCTGAGGCTACTCATCATATCTTGTTGAAGAGCAACAGCAAACATATCACAGAGCAAGAAACAGACACTTCACTACCACAGGAGAAGGTATGTGATCCTTTTAGCTCCATTTCCTAAACTCTCAAAAATCCAATGCTATTTTGGCAGGGTGAGAAGGTATGTGAATGATAGAACTGTCAACCACTGTTGGCCAGGTGGAGAATTAAATCATAATGAATGAAAGTCAAATATATAACTAGGGAGAAGCAGCAACAGGCCCACTGCGATATGGAATCTGACTAGGCAGGCTGAGCAACTCCAGCAAAATCCCCATAAGGACTAAAGGCACAAAAGGGCCACACACACACACACACACACACCACACACACACACACACACACAGAGCTATACAGAGGAGGGAAGAATAGGAAGAGAGCAAGGTAGCCTTTACGGTGACTCAGAGGAATGAGAGCAGTAGAGAAATCCTAGAGGACATCACAAAAATCCCTGACTGACTGGTAGGACATTTTTTGTGGTTGGTTGGTTGCTTTTAACCTTCAGTGGTCTTTCCCTAAAGTAGAAGGTGACCAAAAACAGGTCCGCACAGAAGCCTCAGAGATACAGCATTTGGGAAGGATTAATTCTACATCAGCAGACCTGCAGTGCTATCAGAATCTGAGAGCTGACCTGACCATCAGATCCCACATCCAATGCACTAGCATGACTAAGCGCCCAACCCCTCTCCTAAGAAGAGGAACCAATAAAAGTCCATGGCTGATAAATCTTTCAAAGACATGAAGAGGAAAACATCAAAAAGAACAAGACCCCATTGTGCTTTTTATTCCCCCACAGCCACCTCCGTGGGAATTCCTAGTTCCAATTAACCCAGCATCTCTTAAGCTGTTCCCAGAGATAGGTGTTGCATGGGGTCCAGAAAAAAAAACTGAAATAAGTGGGAAATGTTGCATATAAAAGTTATAAATTCCTATGGTAGAGGAACCTGTTCAGCTTTATTTAAATTGCTGACTTACTTGACCCTTTTAAGGAACATCTGTTACCATCTCACACAACTTTAGAAAATGCTGCTTAACAGTTTTTGCAAAAATGTCTCATCTCAGAATGGGAAGAGCATGTCAACATTGGGAACACCCAGGAATCACAAATATAATGGTTTTCAAAAATTAGTATGTCAGAAGGTTCAAGGCAATGCTTTGAAAACTGGAGGAACTTGTCCTTCTGTGAGGCACTTACTCAATAGTAAATAGAGCCAGGAAAAGTTGGCTTGTCAGATTTAAAAGCAGACAAGCAAAAGCCTACCAAGAACAGTAATACCAGGCTGCTCTGCTTAGTTGTGGCCTGGCCAGGACAGAAAAGAACAACCCTTGGTGGTATCTTCTTACTGCTCTGACGGGAGATACCTCTCTCTCTCTCTTTCTCAAACTTCCTCCAAAAGGTTCAGACCAAACTTCAAAGCAGCCATAAACAAACTAGCCTGTCTTCATTCCTCTAAAAGCCAAATAACCTAGAGTCTCGGGTTTCCAAGAGAAGAGACAGATGGCTCATGCTGGCATTGTTAAATGCTGCCAAAGGGATCTTTCCCTATTCCCCTTAGATGCAGTTCCCAAGCAATGCCCCAAAAGCTATAAGAGGACACACTTCTTGGTGGTCTTCTTTGTGGCTGGGTAAAGCACAGCCCGCACAGCTTCTGAAAATACCTCATGTACCCCATCCTGCATCAGGGCCGAACACTCCAGATACTTCACAGCCCCCACCTGCTTAGCCAGGGAAGTGCCTTGCTGAGGTGTTGTGGGCACTAGGCTCTGTTCCTTCAGCTTCTTCACTGTCTCAAGGTCACTCCGCAGGTCCCTCTTGGTGCCTACCAGCAGAACAGGTACATTGGGGCAATGATGAGAGACCTCTGGGTGCCACTTATGCCTCACATTGGCATAAGAGGACGGGTTGCCAATGGAAAAACAAATGACAAAGATATTTGTCTGGGGATAGGACAGTGTTCGCAGTCGGTCATACTCCTCTTGGCCAGCTGTGTCCCAAAGGTTCAGGCTGACAATTTGGCCATCCACAGATGTCTGGGCGCTATAGTTGTCAAAGACAGTGGGGATGTACTCTTCAGGAAAGGCATTTGTTGTATAACTGATGAGGAGGCAGGTCTTACCTACAGCCCCATCTCCCACAACCACACATTTGATCGTCTGCATTCTTCCCGTGGAGTCCTATGTCCAACAGAGAGAGAGAACATTCATAGACCCTTGGCGATTTAGGGAGCCTACGCTTTATAAACACTTCTCTCTGAGGAGAAAGAGAAGAGGTAAGACCCCCACTGCCCATTCCCTTAACACCATAGAAGAGTCAGGTGGGAAAGTTCTATAGGGCAAGAATTCTTACCATGGAGCCCATGGATGGTTAGACAGGCTTCAGCAGATCCTAGAAGCCACCTCTGAAGTTGTATGCAGTATCACATGTATGTGCACATGTGGATTTTTCTGGAAAGAAGATCCAAAGCTGCCATCAGATTCTCAAAAAGGGCTGTGAACCCAAGATAAAGAACCACTGGTACACACAGCTGCTTATGTAAACATTGTTGTCATAAGGTGTAAATATACTGTATCAAAGGTGCTAAAATACAGTAGTGCTCAATAAAATGGTAACTAATTTTTAAAAAGCACTGGTATATAAAGAAGATTCCCAAGGTTGAAACAAAAGAAATGTGACTCTCAGTTCAGGTCTGTGGCTGTAGACTCACCAAAGGAACCTCCTTCTGAAAAACAGTGACATCATATTGGAGAGAAACAGTGGCCAATCAGACTCAGCCATATAGATAAGTGGTTAAGAGTCCAAGCTCTTAACTTGAAGTCAGACTGCCCAGAATAAAAAACCAGCCCCGTCTTCTCTTTAAGCTTTGTGAACTTGGGCAAGTTTTTAACCTGAGTTTTAAATTAAAGAATGTATGGCTAGAACTTACTACATCAAGTGTTAGAAGCTACTATGACTTCATAGTAATTATCCTCCTTTTACTGTTCTGCTGCTGTGGAAGGCAAACGTTCTTTAATGTGATCATAGTGCCAGACAAACCAGGGGTCTCATCCCTTCCCACTTTATCTGAGTAAAACTACAGGGCATAGCACCACCATACTCTCATCCACTTCTTCATGATTCAAGTATTCAGAAGTTAATGGTAGGGCACAGATGATCTCCAAGAAGCATGTTTACTGGGAGCTCCCTGTTTATACCCTCGATATTAATACCTTGTCAGTGCCCCACAGCACTCCATTTTCTATAGTTTCTTTACTGTCCTAATTTAAGACCCAGTTACAGCATTAACTTCAAGTGTCAGAACACAGAGGAAAGGGGATAAAGTGTCATATAAAGGGTCCTGTTGTCTTACTAGCTATGGTCTATATTAGGCCCATATCATAGACAAAAACAAAACACCTCATTTTGGGTCAGAGTTAAGAAATGTTGGCCTTCCAAGTATGCTTTACACAGGCCCACTAGGAGTAGCTCTCTCCCCATATATCCAGTTCTGACCAGGGAGGCATTCCACCTAAAATGTTTCATTATTCATTAGCACAGGTCCCACAGCTAAAAGTCCAGAGCATAATTCAGCTCTAGCAGGCAACCATCCCAGGGTATTCACTGTCCCATCAGCTCTGTCTTTTTCCATTTAGAAAAAGGCATAAGGCTCAAACACAAAAGGTCAGTGGAAACAGGGCAAAGTCACCATTACTTTCCTTGAGGATAGCTTTCCTTTATTTTCCCAGTTTGAATGAATTTCTTTCTCCTTGGAATTCCTATGGTAATTACTACCTGTACAACTTATCTTTCCAGCCTCCTCTAGGTATCATCTAGTGTCCAGCATCCCTGCTCAAAGTGACTGCTTTCAGGACAACAGTGCATCTGAGGGCGTTGCTGGACCAGAACAAAACTCTTCTGCACAGATCACTTTGCAACCCAAGCTCAGCTCCTCATCTGTATGACCAGGAAAAGGCAAATCTACACTCATTTTTACTTGTTTATATCTACTAATACTCCTGGTATATATGCTCAGCCAATGGGCACTCAAGTCACACTGATGGCTGAAGGCCTAGATGATGAAGTGCAGATGGAATATCCCAGGTCTGAAACAAAACCCAAAACATCCTCACTCATAACTAACTCTCTGTGAAAGGGAGGGTTCAGCAAAAGTCCCAGGTATTTTGGGGGGTCGGGGCTGCTTTGTACAATTGATAATCTATTCAGCCCACCTGTTCATTACATTATTTTTCTCTATTTGTGTCTATGTTTGAAATTCTCCATAGTTAAAAAGTTTTAAAACAATACTAAAAATATGTCCAAAAGAATTGAACACAGGATCTCAAAGAGATATTTGCGCACCATGTTCATTGCATCATCATTTACAATAGCTAAGAGGTGGATGCAACCTAATTGTTCACTGATGGATGAATGGATAAAGTAAATTATATGTATGAGAGATATATGAATATCATTCAGCCTTAAAAAGAAAATTTTCATTTTCATCTTTTGCTACAACATGAACCTTAAGGACATTATGCTAAGTGAATGAAGCCAGTCACAAAAAGCCAAATACTACATGATTTCACTTATACGAAGCATCTATGATAGTCAAACTCACAGAATAAAATGGTGGTTGCCAGGGGCTGGGGGAGGGGGTAAATGAAGAGTTGTTTAATGAGTATAGAGTTTCAGTTTTGTACGATGAAAAAGTTCTAGAGATCTATTGTACAACTATGTGCAAACAGTTAACACTACTGCACTGTACACTTAAAAATGGTTAAAAATACTAAAAGTAAAAATACACTTTTTCAAAGGGTTGGGAGCTCTGAGAGAAGGCTGAGTTATAAGAGAAAGGCAAATATTCTGTTTGTCACCTATATGAGCAAAGCTTGTTTACCTCAGCTCCAGGATCTAGCACAATGCTATCCAGTTAAATGGATCACCCCTCCTGTCCACATACTCCCAGGTATTACTGTGGACAATACACTGCTAGAAGGGACTCATAAAAGATTAGGAAAAAGAAAAAGAATGCTGAAAGTTTACCATCTTGTGATAAAGGCAGAACTTACATAAAAAGGCAAACAATAATACACAGCTACTGCTCAGAGACAAAAAAGGTTGCTATGGGGAAGCAAAGGGAAACAAAAAATTGAGAGCTTGTTAATTAATAGGTGTTGTGCCAAGTACTGTGACATATCTTATTTAAGCCTCACGGTTGCACTGTAAGGTAGACATAAGAGCAGCTCCACGATCTTTAGTAATGCCCCTAGGATTGGAAATGGGAGAAGCCTAGAGCTGCAACGACCAGCAGCCCAGAAGGCTCCTTTCTGAGTTAATCATTCCCTGTTAACCTTGAAATTAGTTTCTTCTCAATCTCCCAATCTCATCTGACAAGCATTCTTCTTCACAGGTACAGTCTGCACAGCAGTTTTCACCTAGGTTGGACACACAGTACAATAGATCCAACAGTCAACACAGGAATGCAGCTCAAGGTATTACTATTTCTAGCACATTCTCCAAGTCTCACCCTTTCTACAAGTCTGGGGTCTAATCGACTTGAAATCACTCTGTTAACTTTCCAAAACCAAAACAATTCAGCAGAAGACCCCCATTTGTATTTACTACTTTCTGCAACTTATTTATTTACTCAATCAGGGACATTTTCACATTGAAACTTACTTCTTTGGTTCAAGTCCAGTTAAAGAAATCTTGAGGACGCCCAGGGGTGAAGGAAGCCATGCTAACACTCCCTAACCCGGACCCAAGAGCGACTATCCTACGCCTGGAAATCACAGAGGCAATCCTAGAGACCCATCAATAGCCCCACGAGCCCCTTCAACACTCCCCTCGCATCTTCACACCGAGACTGGTCGGTTCTGGGACTTCACAAGGCCTCGTGAGCCTGAGACAGAGGCGTGCCCCACACGTCGGATTCACAAATAGGAAGAGCTGGCTCAGTCTCCCCCGCCATACACACTGCTCATTCCACCCTCAAATCCCTTCCACCCAAGGAGTGGCTCATATACTGAAGCAACTGTTCCGGGGATGGGGAGATTACAGAAGAGAGCGGAGGTGGGGCCCGCCTCGGGGTTCGACGTAAAGATTACCGGATAAGGTGGTTGTCTTCCCACGCCGATTGACCAGAGCTGGCGGGGTGACACTCGCTGGGCTGGGCAGGCTCGCGCACTGGGCGCCACATCCGGGCAGCTACCGAGTCCCATCCCGTCGTCGCGCGCAGTCTCAGCTCGATGCCCCGAGACCTCCTGGGAAGTGGAGTTCCAGGACCAGCCTCGCCATGTAGAAGTGCCAGAGTTCTAAACTATCCTTTCGGGTAATACAGGATTACTTTGATCCCCGGACCCCAGTAGGAGCTACTCCCTTAGGAGACTGCCAAACCTCACCTTTCCCTTTGCAAAGTGAGGACACACCCACTCTCTCCCCAAATGCCTTTTTTCTTCTCAAGACCAATGTTACCATAGGCAGTCAGGGAACTGAAAAAATGTTTGGGAAGATGGAGGGGATTAGAAAGTGAGGTAGTGAGCCAAGTAGGGTTGCTGTCTGTCACCATATATTAGTTTGCATTTTCTAGAGTTGTAGATAAATGGAATCATCCAGTATGCACTCTTTTCTAAGAGCTTTATTGAGCTATAAATTCACATATACAATTCATTTAAATTGTACCATTCAGTGGTTTTGGTATGTTACATTATTAGTTTTTTAAATTGTGGTAAATAGGTATTAACTGTCTTTAAGTGTACAACTCAGTGGCATTGATTACATTCAGTGTTGTGCAACACCATTATGTATCTCCAAAACTTCATCACCCCAAACAGGAGCTCTGTAGCCATTAAGCAAAAACTCACACCCCACTTCCCACAGCCCCTGGAAAGCGATCTCTAATCTACTTTCTCTGTGAATTTGACTTTTCTAGCTACTGAAAGGAAAGGAGCGACACATAGCAATTCACCAGAGAGTTCCGCTTTATTAGGGAAAGGTGCTGGGTTATATAGGAAGGGGCATGAATTGATTGAGGTGTCACTTCTACGGGGCTGGTGGCTGTTGGCTAGGTGCTGGGATTGGGAGGGGGGCGAGAGGTGATTGGGCTTCAGGTGGCGCCAGCGGGAACTGAGGACCCCGAAGAGAAGCCGGAAGTTTGCCATCTTACTGGTGCGGACCCTTCATTCCCCCCTTTCTCCTCTAT